CCCCCCATTACTACCTTTAGGACGATCTAAATATTTACCTCCAATATGACAATTATAGCCCCTCCATTACTACCTTTAGGACGATCTAAGCATTTACCTCCAGTATGACAAGTATAACCCCTCCATTACTACCTTTAGGAGGATCTAAACCTTTACCTCCAGTATGACAAGTATAACTCCTCCATTACTACCTTAGGACAATCTATACATTTACCTCCAGTATGACAAGTATAATCCCTCCATTACTACCTTTAGGACAATCTATACATTTACCTTCAGTATCATAAGGATAACCCCTCCATTACTACCTTTAGGACGATCTAAACATTTATCTCCAGTATGACAAGTATAATCCCTCCATTACTACCTTTAGGACGATCTAAACATTTGCCTCCAGTATGACAAGTATAACTCCTCCATTACTACCTTAAGGACAATCTTAACATTTACCTCCAGTATGGAAAAATATAACCCCTCCATTACTACCTTTAGGTCGATCTAAACACTTACCTCTAGTGTGACAAGTATAACCCCTCCATTACCACCTTAGGACAATCTAAACATTTATCTCCAGTATGATAAGTATAACCACTCCATTACTACCTTCAGGACGATCTAAACATTTACCTCCAGTATGACAAGTATAACCCCTCCATTACTACCTTTAGGACAATCAATACATCTATCTCCAGTATGACAAGTATAATCCCTCCATTACTACCTTTAGGACAATCAATACATCTATCTCCAGTATGACAAGTATAATCCCTCCATTACTACCTTTAGGACAATCAATACATCTATCTCCAGTATGACAAGTATAATCCCTCCATTACTACCTTTAGGACAATCAATACATCTATCTCCAGTATGACAAGTATAATCCCTCCATTACTACCTTTAGGACAATCAATACATCTATCTCCAGTATGACAAGTATAATCCCTCCATTACTACCTTTAGGACGATCGAAACATTTATCTCCAGTATGATAAGTACAACTCCTCCATTACTACCTTCAGGACGATCTAAACATTTACCATTAGTATGACAAGTATAACCCTCCATTACTACCTTCAGGACGATCTAAACATTTACCTCCAGTATGACAAGTATAACCCCTCTATTACTACCTTAACGACGATCTCAACATTTAACTCCAGTAACAAGTATAACCTTCCATTACTGACAATCTAAAGATTTACCTCAAGTATGACAAGTATTACCCCTCCATTACTACCTTTAGGACAATCGAAACTTTTACCTCCAGTATGACGAATATAACCCATTCATTACTACCTTTAGAACGATTTAAACATTTACCTCAAGTATGACAATAATAACCCATCCATTACTACCGTTAGTACAATTTAAACATTTACCTCCAGTATGACAAGTATAACCCGTCCATTACTACTTTAGGAAAATCTAAACATTTACTTCCAGTATGACAAGTATTACCCCTCCATTACTACCTTTAGGACGATCTAATCATTTACCTCCAGTATGACAAATATAACCCCTCCATTACTACCTTCAGGACAATATAAACATTTACCTCCAGTATGACAAGTATAACCCCTCCATTACTACCTTTAGGACGATCTAATTATTTATCTCCAGTATGATAAGTATAACTCCTCCATTACTACCTTCAGGACGATCTAAACATTTATCTCCAGTATGACAAGTATAACCCCTCCATTACTATCAACATGAAGAATTACAAAAAGAAAAAAATAGATAAAAATATTCAATTTTAATTCACAATGGAAATATTGTGCTTTCTCTCAACTTTCTATTTATTGTTTTCTTGTATAGGAACCAAACTACCCTGGGTCTTGAAATATAACCCGTATGTTGTTCATGTCCAGGAATAGGTGGCATGAAATACTGATAAAGGCATTCATTCAAGGTCACAAGGGTCCAGTGTGTAAAAGTAAAAACGAAATTTGTTCTGCACGAGGAATCAGATA